AATACTAGCATAATCAAAAACCCAGGCATTTCTACCTAAAATGAGTCCTTACTCTGCAGCCATATTTGCTCAGTTTCATGCTCTGCACTTAAAACAATTTACTTCTAACAGAGACCAGTTTAATCTGTCATACCTGTTCTTCAATTCAGGTGTTTTGCTTTCATAATAGATTGATACCTTCACACCCCTATCTGCTCTTGTGGCTTCTCAAGAGAGCCAAGCAATTCTTTAACCACTTCCCAAAGTAGTGTACTTCTAGAGGGTTTTTATATGTTTTCTTTAACTGTGAAAATTCCTGCCTTTGCTTATTTCAAATCATTAGCATGCTTATTTCAAATCATTGCATTATTTGGATAAGATTCTTCCACTTGCCAGTTACATGTGAAATAATTGTTATTGAAGAATTAACCAGACCATAGCTAAAATAATTATGTATAAGCAATACAGAAGGCATAGATAGAAGAGACAGATGTAACACAAATTGAAAGTGCTGTCCAAATATAGAAAGATGAGGTTCCAATGAGCAAACCATATAGAAACAGGTTTAAAACAAATATTAATTTTGTAGAGTTTTCAGATTATAATTCCCTACCCCTTTTCTACCCTGGCTGCTGCAGTGTCAGATATCATGGCATAATTTCTTCTTTTTTTAAAGATGTATTTATTTACTTGAAAGAGTTATGCAGAGAGAGAAGGAGAGGCAGTTGGAGGTCTTCCATCCACTGGTTCACTCTCCAGTTAGCCACAACAGCCAGAGCTGTGCCAAGAGTCAGGAGCTTCTTCCAGGTCTCCCACGCAGGTGCAGGGGCTCAATGACTTGGGCCATCTTCTGTTGCTTTCCCAGGCCATAGCAGAGAGCTAGATCGGAAGTGGAGCAGCCGGAACTCGAACCAGCACCCGTATGGGATGCTGGCACTGAAAGCAGCAGCTTTAGCCTTTACACCACAGTGCCAGCCCCACAGCATAATTTCTCATTCTGTCCAGAGCATAGGGGTGCCTAGGACATGCTAAATGAACAGTCACTATACTACCTTCCTTCCCACTGAGCCTCAATAAAGCCTTAGTAGCCATATTAGTATATTCCAAGCATAACTACCAATCAGCCAGCTCTGGCATATCCTGTAATGTTACTTGTTGTCAGTTACTGTAATTCAAGCAGTATGCTAAGTCCTTTACCAAAATAATTGTATTTAATCCTTGGGACACCCGATGTGCAAGGTAGTATTTTAATCTCCATTTACAGGTGAAGAAATGGAGACTTAAAGTTTTTGATCACCATAAGCCTTTTAAGCCTTTTAAAATGATATAAAATGAATAACAGTATAATATAATAGCTGAAAAAAGTGAAATTATAGTTGATAGTAGATGCTAGAACTGAAGTGTTAGATGCTTGAGAAATAATTTATAAGGCACTGAAATAATGAAAAGAAGTAGAGCAGTCAGGAAGCCATTTAGAAGATGGGGACAGAAGTATAGAAAATAAAACCCCTTGATTCCTTAAGAGGTGGTGAAACCTCAATTTGTAACTTTAAAATTTCCAGTTTTAGTCCCTGTGAGGCCTTTACTTCCTATCCTTGAGAATCCGTGAAACTGCCTATGGTATTTTTTATTAAGGCAGTGAAAAGACAGACAAACAGATCTCACAATTGCTGGTTAAGTCTCCAAATGCCCGTAACAGCCCAAGAGGGGGTATGCCAAAGCCAGGAGTCAAGAACTCAATCCAGGTTCTACATGGGTGACAGGGACCCAACTATCTGATTTATCACCTGCTGCCTCCTAGGTTGCGCATTAGCAGGAAGCTGGAATTTAGAAAGTGGAGCCAAGACTTGAACTCAGGTACTATAACATTGTGGGATACCGATATTCCAAGCAGTGTCTTAAATTACTCTGCCAAATGCCCACTCCTACCTGTAGTATTTCTAAAGTAAATTTCCTTTTTACTTAACTGCTTTTCTCGCAACCAAATAATGCTTAAGACCATGAAGATTCAGAATATGGGGTAAAGAGCACGATTTAGGAAACACGCAGTTCTAATCATGCTGAACTTGAGATTGGAACTTCTGGTGGGTATTGACTATGTAAAGTCTCTGGATTGGAGACGCTGAATCTATGACCTGTAGATCTCAGTTGAAACTGAGATCCTCCATCAAAAGTAGAAAGTGGCAAAGGCTTGGGAATGGAGACTGAATACCAAAATATTGGATGCTGGTTGAGAAAGGAGGATCCAGTACTGGAGGACTAAATCAGAGCAGGCAGAGTTGGGAAGAGAACGAGAATAAATGACACCAACAAAGTCAAGGTAGGACGGTATGCAGAAAAGAAAATCAGCATCAGGTGCTCCAGAAAAACTAAGTGTCTTAGGGAATGAGAATCCATTGGATATGGCAGTGAGGTCAGTAGTGGTCTGAAACTTCAGCATGGTTTCTAAGGAGATGAGGGAAGAATTAGAAGTCTGACTTCAGTAGGTCAAAGAAAAAATGCAAAGGAAGAAAATGAAAACCTTATCAATGTATCCGAATGAGCTATCAGAAATATAGTGGAAGTATATCTTGATGATGAGAGGAGGGAGAGGTACATGACTGAGAGCTGAAATCAACCTTCAAGATAGTTGAAGAAACTTGATACCTAGTAAGTTTAGTAGTTGCACCGTGGCAAACCCAGTAGGTGACAGATAGAACAGACAGTCTTCTGACTCTACACCTACCAGTACAGGTAGGCAAATTCTTAATCCAAAAGGGAGGAGAAATTTTTAATGGTTCTTTTGGAATTTCAATTTATTTTCTCAGATAAGAATGGAGTAAATTAGGTTGCATTAAAAGCCACTGGCACAAAATGCCAAATTCAATCATACTACAAATGGGCAAAACTAAATGTGTATATTCATAACTATTTCAAGAGGAAACTTTATTGTGTTATAGTTTTGCTTTTGATTAAGGAGCTTCATTAATATTTTTAAGTGTTGCAAAAATATACACTGATAATTAAAATGCAAATTACTAAGTCTTAAAATAACTTCTTATTTATGGTGCTATGTCTTATCTTTGTGTAATTGTATGAGAATAAAATTGTCACAACATGTACTTTTGGGGGTCATACCAGAATATAACTTTAGTTTTTGTTGTAAGAGCACCACCTATAGGTTTCTTATGTATTTGGACAATTTTTCTTAAAGCAAAACCTAGTAAAACAAAAACCTAATAAAATTCTCTCTACTTTTTCCTTATAATTAGGCTATCTATTTATTAAAGGTTAGCAATTTTATGCTTTGTTATAGATTACCTCCATCTATGTTTTGTATATTTAAATCAGTTTTAAAGTATTTTAGTATTTACATGCTAGTATGATGTTATAAATTTGAGTTAAATTTTTTTAAAGATACAGCTTTGGATTTTATTGATTTTTCTTTTGTTCACTTTATATTTCAGTGTGGTCCACTCTTTTTTTTTTAAGAGTATTTATTTATTTGAAAGGCAGAGAGAGAGATCTTTATTGCTGGTTCACTCCCCAGATGACCCCAGTAGTTTGTGCTGGGCCAGGCTGAAGCCAAGGGTCAGGAACTCTATCTAGGTCTCCCACTGGGTGGCAGGAACTCAACTACTTGGGCCTTTGGCCACTGCTTCCCTGGCACATTAGCAGAGAACTGCATTGGAAGCATAGTAGATAGGACTTGAACAAGGCACCATAAGGTTTGCCCCAAAGTTAAATATGATTTAACTCAAAATTATGCTATTCTCTTTTGTGCAGATGATTCTGTTCATGAAAATGAATAATTTTCCATACATCAGGTCAATAACGATTGTTTTGTTTCTTTATATGTTTATTTATATCTTTAATATCTTCTCTAATGCTTTGGTAAGAGATAATGAAAAAGAAGATCTTATAAATGACTTAGGATATCTTTTTATTAAATTATGATGATAACTCAAAGTAAAGATAAACTCTTTATTATTAATAAGCCCTTAAATAGAATTATATTTGGATTAATTTAGTCTTATTCTAAAACATCATTCATTACAATCAAAATGTTTCTGTAAGAGAACTTTACCTTTAATGAAATTTAGTGAAACAGCATCCAAGGGGCAAAAAAAAATAGAAGTTTTGTGCCTTGGCAGTGAGATAGATGTTCAGCCTTGGTGGATGGTGTCTGTGAATTCTGTGACTACATATGAGTCTCCTTGATCTGATATTGGTCCAAAACAAGACCCCTTTGGCAGTGCACCCTCATTCCAGGGTAGATCTCTTTTAGACATGAACATTTTTTTTCTTTACTAAAATATTCTTCTAAACCTTGATTACATGTTTCCTTCAAAGAATGAGTTATTTTGTATAAATAAGGATTGACTTTAAGTAATATAGCTTGCTTTATGTTAGCCATTTTGGATAAAGTTTTTTAAGTTACATAGGATTCTTAAGCTCTAATAAATTTTAGAAGTTAAATTGAATAAATAAAAGACTATAGTAATTCTGAATGTTTTGCTATCTTTATTCAGTCATTCACTAACTTCTTATAGTTACAATCCAACTTACTATGTTTATTTGTCTTACTGTGTTTATTTGAAGTATCCTAAAAGCAACACGTGCTCCTAAGGATCCAAACACACTAACTGAGTAAAAACTGAGCTTTTAGGTAGCCTATAATAAAGAGAATAAATTTGGAAGATGAGTTTTGACTAAGGATAAATGGATGGATGGGTGGGTGGGTAGGTGGATCCACCGATTGATCTCCATGGCAAATGCTAGTAATTCTGGTTTGAACTGTAATGCAGTGACCCAATTTAAAAACCTCCTTTCCTACACAAAACATTCACTTAATTGTCTCAAAGGGAAGAAATTAAAGTATCTCACTAGAATAATAGAAGCATTTAAAGTTGATAATACCACATCTTATTGTACATGATTTGCTGCCTAAAGTTTTTTTTTTTTTTTAATAAACACTGATTTACTTAATGCTGTGTTTTAAAGTGTAATAATTAGCTGAGATTGCTTTGGCTGTCTTCCAGCTTGTGGAGAGACTCCAGAACAAATTCGAGCACCAAGTGGCATAATCACAAGCCCAGGCTGGCCTTCTGAATATCCTTCCAAAATCAACTGTAGCTGGTTCATAAGAGCAAACCCAGGGGAAATCATTACTATAAGGTAATTGACTGTTTTCTGTGTTACTATATAATATTTTACTATAAAATAAATGGAGTTTTCAAATATCATTACTTCGCATGTAGTAATATAAGACGCCTTTCCAGAGCATTTAATAAATGATAGATATCAGTATCATCTTTTTTTTTTTTTTTTTTTTTGACAGGCAGAGTGGACAGTGAGAGAGAGAGACAGAGAGAAAGGTCTTCCTTTGCCGTTGGTTCACCCTCCAATGGCCGCCGCGGCCGGCGCGCTGTGGCCAGCGCACCGTGCTGATCCGATGGCAGGAGCCAGGTACTTTTCCTGGTCTCCCATGGGGTGCAGGGCCCAAGCACCTGGGCCATCCTCCACTGCACTCCCTGGCCACAGCAGAGAGCTGGCCTGGAAGAGGGGCAACCAGGACAGAATCCGGCGCCCCGACCGGGACTAGAACCCGGTGTGCGGGCGCCGCTAGGTGGAGGATTAGCCTAGTGAGCCGCGGCGCCGGCTGATATCAGTATCATCTTAAGTGTAAGAATAATGGCCTGTCAGACAGTGCTTTGAACACTAATGGGAGCAATGTAATTTTCAATGAATCATCTGTATTCTTCTTAGTTACTTTTTGGTTAAAAAAAGTACATATTTGTAAACCTAAAAAGGAAAGAAAAGTGTAAATGTGTTTATAAAAATTATATTTTTACCAATACTGGGATTTTTCCACATGAAACCATTTATAGAGATATTTATCTTTTATCCAAAAAATTAAACTTATAGCTTACCAGCTCAGTTATACAAAAATTAGAAATTGTTGGTTGCACAGAAGAGATTACATGGAATTCTACCATAAGGTTTTGATCATGTGTTGGATCCTTGGGATTTCACAAAGTAAGATAACACCAATAGTCACATGCAGTGCTGAGATGCAGAACAAAATTACAGTGAGCCCTGTTTGTAAAGGGAAGGGAGATAACCCAATTATTAAAGGAGTTAATATCTTTAGATTTATGCAAATCAGAGGTATGGCGGCTGGGCATTTTGTGTAGCTATTAAGTCAAAAGTTTTTTATCTAGAAAGGATATATGCTTTAAAACATTTTGGTCAAAAAAAAATTGCATGCATTCCTGAATTTAAAGTAATTAAATTAAGGTCTTTGGTAAAAGTGGTATTAGAAACATGGTTTTAAAAATTCTGGATAGAAGAATGAAACTGAAATTACAGAGTATACTAGAGAACTTCAAAAAGTTTGTTGAAAATGCAGATTAACTTTTAATTCCTTTTTCCCAGGAACTTTTGAATAGTCTTACAAACAAAATATCCTGAGAGCCCTCTCTATAAAACTGGCCGAAGTTGGCAGTTTTACTTCATTCTTACTGAGAATGAAGAGACCCACCAAAATCAACAAAGGCCACCTTATCTGTTGGAAATAGAGGGTTGGATCGTAACACATGTTTCAGGCCAAGGACTGGGATCTGGCTGCTTTATTCAAGAAAACAAACTGAAAAAATCTTCCACTAATCACTGTTTTAACTTCAGTGGGATCATTTAAGATTTGTTCTATATGGACACCCAGGCGGAAAACATGAGAGAGAAGGTATTAAAAAATAGAACTGGGGCCAGCGTTGTGGTATAACAATTAAAGCCACCCATGGCCGGCGCCGCGGGGGGCAATAAGCTAATCCTCCGCCTTTGGTGCCAGCACCCCGGGTTCTAGTCCCTGTTGGGGCGCCGGATTCTGTCCCAGTTGCCCCTATTCCAGTCCAGATCTCTGCTGTGGCCCTGGAGTGCAGTGGAAGATGGCCCAAGTCTTTAGGCCCTGCACCTGCATGGAAGACCAGGAGAAGCACCTGGCTCCTGGCTTCGGATCAATGTGGTGCACAGCGCAGCGGCCGTTGGAGGGTGAACCAACAGCAAAGGAAGACCTTTCTCTCTGTCTCTCTTTTTCTCACTGTCTACTCTGCCTGTCAAACAAACAAACAAAAAAAGCCACCCATATGGGTGCCAGTTCATTTCCTGACTGTTCCACTTCCCATCTGGCTCCCTGCTAATGTACATGGGAAAAGCAGGAGAAGATGGCCCAAGTACTTGGGCCCCTCCACCCACATGGGAAACCCAAATAAAGCTCCTGGTTTGTGGCTTCAGCCTGGCCTAGTCCCAGCCCTTGGCAGCAGTCTGGGGAGTGAACCAGCAGATTGAATACCTCTCTCTCTGTCTCTCCTCTCTCTGTAACTCTGACTTTCAAATAAATAAGTAAATCTTTATTGGAAAAAAAAAGAAAAACCTTTGACAAAATGGCCTGCAAGCCAAAGTTCCAGAATATATAGGAACATTTAATGCTAAGAAACACAGGGAACAAAATCACATTGGAGCAAAAATGTACTACGGACTTTGATTATGTCAGTGGTTCTTTCATAACTTTTTTATGTCATAGATACTTTGTTGTCTAGTGAAACATTTGTATTTTTCCCCAACTAATGTTTTTAATATAAAGCATTGCAAAGGTAACCTGTTACATTAAGATATGGCCATCAAATATTTTAAAATATTTGTAATGTAGTAATATACTTGTATATGCTTAACAATACACTTGTATTTGCTTATCGGTAAAACCAAGTGGTGATCGGTAATTTCAAAGTAACTTTGAGTGTATATTATTATTTTTTTGACAGGCAGAGTTAGAGAGAGAGAGAGAAAGGTCTTCCTTCCATTGGTTCACCCCCAAAATGGCCGCTATGGCTGGTGCACTGTGCCGATCCGAAGCCAGGAGCCAGGTGCTTCCTCCTGGTCTCCTGTGCGGGTGCAGGTCCCAAGCACATGGGCCATCCTCCACTGCCTGCTTGGGCCACAGCAGAGAGCTGGCCTGGAAGAGGAGCAACCAGGACAGAATCCAACGCCCAACCAGGGCTAGAACCTGGGTGCTGGCGCCACAGGCGGAGGATTAGCCGAGTGAGCGATGGCACCAGCCTGTATATTGTATTTTTAGATATATAAAATGAAACATAATATGAAAATACCTCTGGTTTCTAATAGTAACAGTGACATAAAATGTAAATACCATCATGGTTGTTTATATTTTAAGTGAAGGAACTGCTAATAAAATTTTAAAAGAATAGTAGATGGAAGCCAGTGTTGTGGCATAAAGTCATCAACTGTGACACCATCCCATGTGGACTCTGGTTCATGTCCCAGCTGCTCCACTTCCCATCCAGCACTCTGCTAATGCTCCTGGGAAAGCAGCAAAAGATGGCCTATGTACTTAGACCCCTGCACCCACATCGGAGACCCTGATGAAACTCCTGGCTTCCAGTTTCAGCCTGGCCCAGCCCTGGCTGTTGTGGCCATTTGGAGAGGGAATCAGAGGATGGAAGGTCTCTTTCTCTCTCTCTCTCTGTTTTCTTTCACTCTGTCTCTCCTTTCTCTCTAATTCTACCTTTCAAATAAATATTTTTTAAAAAAAAAAAAACCTACTAAATAAACATACAAATGGATTAACTCAAATCTTTAAAAGTGATTATCCAATCAGATTTATTGAGTGGTTGGTTGGTTGGTTTGTATGATCCTGCTATAGAGGACTCACATCCACTGTTTCATATAGCTAAAATAAAACCAATAACACCAAGTCTTAAGGTGGGAGTCAGGGTAGGCATTTGGTACATCCAAGCAGTCAGTAACATGTTGCTTGGGATGCCTGCATCCCATATAGAAGTGACTGGTTCCAGTCCCAGCCCTCTGCTTCCAATTCAGTTTCTGCTAATACATACTTTCGGAAGCAGCAGAAAATGACTCAAATATTTGGGTCACTACCTCCCACGTGGGAGACCTGGATAGAGTTCTAGGCTCTTGGCTTCAGTCTGACCCAGCCTTGGCTATTGCAGGCACTTGGATAGTAAACCAACAAATTGTAGATCTACCTGTGTGTGTTTGGTTGCCTTTCAAATAAAATGAAAACTTACCCCACTTTAATCTTTTGGCATTATGTAAGGTGAATAAATTGAGATATCTGTGGGGATAGCTATTATTTTCGCTGTTAATCATCAGTCTTTTTATGGTGAAACAACATATATTTAGTATTAGGGAAGCTGGACTATGTTTATGATCCTAAATTTTGTTGGTGACATCCAAAGAATCATGATTAGGAGCCAAACAAACATACGCCTTCTTCTCTCCCTCAGGCCTGATTAGGGTACTGGCTGACCTTGGCAGTGTCATAGTTTCCTCACAGCCTGTTTGACCTGTGCTTGCGGGCTTTGACATCCACAGGGTGCACAAGTGTATTGTCATCTGTCTTCTTGATGATGGCATAGTGTTCAGGCTTGTTCCTGCAGGGGCACTCTCCTGAGGGTACTTGGGCTGCTGCTGGAGCCACCATGGTCGTCGTTGTGTCTTGGCTGCCAGAACATGAGTGATGTGTGGGTCTTTGTGTGTGTGTGTGTGTGTGTGTGTGGTTTTAGTCACCTTTCAACACTGCCTTTTTGGCCTTCAAAGCCTTTGCTTTGTCATCAGCTCTTTTGAAAAAGTTACAGAGAGAGGGAGAGAAGAGACATCTTCCATTCATTGGTTCACTCTGCCAGATGGTTGCAACAGCCAGCACTAGGCCAGGCCAAAACCAGGAGCCAGAAGCTTCTTCCAAGTCTCCCTTGAGGGTAGCAGAGGCCCAAACACCTGGGCCATCTCCTGTTGCTTTTCACAAGCCATTATCAGGGAGCTGGAATGAAAGAAGGGCAGCAAGGACACATACCAGTGCCCACATGGGATACCAGCCTGCAGACAGTGGCTTTACACACTGCACCACAATGGCTGCTCCACTTTCAATCCAGCTCCCTGCTAATGGCCTGGGGAAGCAGTGGAAGAAGGCCCAAGTATTGCCGGTTTACCTTAGGCCAAAATTTAATATTTCGGGTTCTTGCCTTTAGCTTAGACAAGAATTCTAAGCTCAGGCACAAACAAGACATGTAACATGGTGAAGTTCAGGATTTATTTGGAGAAATACACAGGAATGTGGGGGCTTAATTAAGGGAGAACAGGTC